TTTGAAATTTTGTGGATGGAATGAAATTTCTCGTAAAATCTAGTTTGAAAACTTGAAAATATTTAAAGATTAGATTTTCAAATTCTGATCAAATTTAAGATATCAAACAGATATTTGAAAATAAATCTTCAAAATCTGATTCAAAATGTATGGTCAAATGTTAGCAAGCTAAGTTTGTGGAAATATTTGTGCATCTATTACTTTCTTGTGTGACCAAGAGTTCAAAATTAGTAGAAATTACTATTTATGTTTTTTTTTGAAAAATTCAAGTAATCACAAAACATCTCTACCAGGCATTTCAAAAGTGTCATGTATATAATCGATTTTAATACAAATATTAGTGATTGCTTTCAGAACACAAAATAAAATAATTTTACAGTTGCTCCCTGATTCCACAAGTAAAATTAATCCTAGCTTAGAGGGGATGCTTGTTAAAATTAGCAGTTAATTTCAATCTCATTTGATACAAATATGAAAATTGAATAATGGACTATAGGTTATATATCACACTTTCAAATTATAAATAAAAGTTGATGGTTTATAATATATATGATTAATTAATTACCTGATGTAGGGATGTAAGTAGGGTTGTTAGCACCCTCTGGTCCAGCCGTGTACACCTAAATTAATCATCAAATCTTATTTAGCTACGTGTTATAACACGATGAATTTCATAGCTAATTTTTATATAATTCTGATAATAAATTAAATACTCAAATTTAAAGAAGATACCACTTGATTGTCACCGTCACCATCATCATCATCAGCTTCCACAAGACAAAAAACAAATAGAGAAATCAAAACCATAGTAACAAGAAGAAATTTGGAGATGGCCATGGCTAACACTTCTTGAAATAAACTTTTACATCTATAGTTTTTAAAGATTATAAAATAAAGTTATCATTCATGATTTTCATATAAATAGACTTGAAAAGAAAGAAAATTAAAGTGAGTAACAGCTGTAAACAGCTTGGAAATTAAAATTAAGTATTATTTTCCTTATTATTTGACGTGCAAGTAAGTAATTAATCTATATAACTTTTATTCATGACTAAAAATGAGCATTTTAATACAATTTTAAATTAATAAAATTACAATTAAATTTAGAATTCGGCTACATCAACAGACACAATGGGGAAAAAGACAAAAGTGGCTGTAATATATCTACAATATATAAAGTTTATCCAATATTCGTGTATTTTTTTAAGAATCTGCTAGAACAATTTTAAAGAATTATTTTTTAAAAGAAATTCTCGTAATTTAGTAATCTTAAGCTCCTCTTGAAACTTGAAATTTACATTTTTGAAGTATGTTTGGATATGTATTTTATTTAAAAATATTTTAAAATTTTGTGAGTGGATGTTTTAAAATTCGAAAATTGGTGTGAGCCAGTTTTTGAAAACTTGAAAATATTTGTAGATAAGATTTTTTAAATCTAATCAAATTTTATGGTCAATAGATATTTAAAGATAATTTTTCAAAACTTAATCCAAAATTTATGATCAAAGACTAGTTTAATTAGCCTGCTCTGGTCGTCTCCTCTTTTTCGATTGTTGCACTCCCTTCGTTTCATATTAATTATCAAGATTATTAAAAATATTTATCTCAATTTACTTTCCATTTTATAAACTTAAGGTAAAATTAATTATTTTTACTCCATTTTGCTTTAATATTAACTATTCTTGAAATAAAATTAGTTTGACTAATCTTATTCTTAAATAAAGTAATACATTTATTTATTAGAAAGAAATTATGTTAACTAATATGAAACGAAAAGAATATATGTTAAGAATAATTTGTTATGAAAGTCGTGTCTTGATTGAAGTTAACTAAAACTTCGTCATCTCAACTCCTAACTCCCAACAAATAAAAGATGGAACACAATATGGGAATTTGATGTACTCCTTTCGTTTCTTTTTACTTATCATATTTTATTTTTTTAAAGTTAATTTGACTAATTTTTTTAATTAAATTTGTTTACATTAATTTGATATTTTAAATTAAAAAGTTACTCAAAAACAATTAAAAAAAATTATAAATTGTAATTTTTTTATATATGAATATAATGAAAAATACATCACAAAATATTAATCAAACTTTTATCGTTTAACTCTAAAAAGAAAAAGAAGCTGTAACAACTAAAAAGGAACCGATAGAGTAGTATTAGCTCGACTAATCTTGTTCTTTTCTTAAATAAAGTAATATAATTTTTGTATCAAATTGACACAACTTTTATTCCCAAGAAAAGGTTTCATGACAATAAAACTAAGTAGTTTCGCTACGTCTCTTTTTCAGAAAATTAAATAATATTTGACAAAAACAAAATTAATACTTCTTATAATTTTTTATTAATAAAATATATACTCTTAATCTAAAAAGAAAAACCTCCCCGGCTTCCTAAGTTCTCCAATTCGAATTAGAGAAGGAAAGCTAAAAAATAAATCATTTTTTTTTATATTTAAATATCTTTGATTAGTTTTTTTTTTTTTTAAAAAAAAAAACAGACTTCGAAAAAAAAATGATTCAAAGTAGGATTATACAATGTGCTTCATTCAATGAAGATGAAATCAACGTGTCCAATATTTTGCTGGATCTAAAAGACCAAATTGAAGAATCTGAAAGAAAGGTACTGAAAATTATGAATTTTACACGTTTCAATTCTTTGTTTATGCTCAATTTCGTTTATATGTTTATTATTATCGTCCTAATTTACTTGGCATCCTTTTAATTTCGATAAGCAAAACAATTTCATCTTAATTTACGTGGATTTAGTATTTCAAAAGGTAATTAAACTGTGAGAGTTTATTCGATTAAAGTCATTAAACTTTGTTTTGTATCAGTAAAATCACTCAATTTAAGGCTTTTATCTTTCAAAAGTACTCAACTAAAGTTAGTATTAAAAAAATTTAACATGACAATAAATAAAAGGACTCAAAAGATTATTCAATTTTGAAAATTTTTCTAACAAAATCACTAAATTTTGTTTTGTATCAATAAAATCACTCAACTTAAGCTTGTATCGATACAATACGAATACTTATTATTAAACTTACATCTGAGATGTAACAAGCTTCACCAGATTCATGGGCTAAATTTGGGCCAATTAAAATATGTTAGATTAATAAAGTTACGATTTTATTTAATGATTTATTTTGTCATGTTAATATTTTGTTTAATGATAAATAGAGTTGAGTGATTTTATTGATATAAAGATTTTAAGTTAAGTAATATAAATGATGAATTTAGTTGAGTGATTTTATTCGTACAACACAAAGTATGTTTAATAACTTTACTAGATAAATTTATATTGTTAACTGATCTTTTGAGATATTAACTCAAATTATATGGCATGGTTCCAATCCCAATAAACTATAATTTATATATTTTTCATATATATAAATTTTATTCGATAAAAACTTATAATTTTCGTATTTAAAACTTTAACATTCAAACTTACGATATTAAATAAATTAGAACAAAGAATATACATTTTTTATCTGAATTCTTGCCTTTGCAGATAAGAGAAAAGTTGATGCGTAATATAGAGAAGTTGACTCGATGTAGAGAATCCCTAAGACGGGTGAGTTTGTAATTATTTAATAAAAATTGTGTTTTTATTTTTCAAAATTATCTTATTTTTTGGGAGTACAAGTTTGAACCGTGAAAATAGTCATTAATACTTGCATTAAACACAATCTTGGAGGTGCGGTCTTTCTTCAAATCCTACTAACACGGAATGCTTAGTTCATTGGGTTACTCTATTTTATCCTCTCTTTTATTGAAGAAAAGACATGAGACAACGATAATATTATCTCCATGTGACTTATAAATCATATGTTTAAACAGCGAAAACAATCACTAATGATTGTATTACAATAGATTGTGTCTAATCACACCCCTCGAACTGCGTCCCTTTCCCAAACTCTACTACTACGTGATGCTTAGTTCATCGGTCTACTCTTTTTCTTTTTTTTTGGTCATGTGTTTACTCCCCTTTTTCTTTTGTCTAAAACTTCTTTTTCATTGTCGCAATTGTACAGGAGATGGAGATAGTACAAAGTTATAATAACAAGCAAAAAGCTTACAATATTGAGTTAAAAGCAATGAGAGAAAAGGTAACTAATGAAATCCTCCATATTTTTCACTTTTTATTTGAAATCAGTGTTTGACCATGAAAATTCTAATTCAGCTTGAAGTTGTATTTCAAATTTAGTAAACAACTTATAACTTGCTTTCCATCTCGCATTTCACTTTTAAAGTTATATTTAATTACACTCAAACATGAACATTATTTTAAATTATTTTTCTTATAAAAAGTATAATCAAATACAATTTTATTATGACGTTACTAAATCGGATTTATTACTTGCTAATTACAGGTAAAGGCAAACTTAAACGAACAAGAACTAGAGACCAACCATATGTTACAGTACCCAATGGGCCAACTGCCACAATTGGGCTCTATGAACCATACAAGCCCAATAGTAATGGGCCAACTTCCACAAGCACAGCCCATATTCTCATCTACTAATGGATTGGGCTTTGTGAGCTATACAGGCCCAATAATTGGTATGCCTAATATTGCTGAAAGAAAGGCCCAATATTCAGAAGCAAGGAGAAAAAGGAGGATGAAAAGAATTGAAACTAAGAGATCATCTGGTTTAATAGATAATTAGATTTGGTGTAATTTGTTTTAAATCATTTATTGTATTTTTTTTTTCATTCACAAAAGAACAAATAACACAGAGAGTTCATCCAAAGTACAATAAAAAAGCTAAAAAAAATAAATAAGCAATAACAAATCCAGAAACAGAAAATAAATGAAGATGTAGTATGGGGGTTCATTGATTCTGTCGAACCCAGTAACTTTTCCGTAGACCCTGTATTTGTACTAGAAAACTAGTTAAATATATATGTATATTAACCTATGAACCCCTATCGGTGAACCCCCAAACTCTTAATTCTAGCTCCGCCTCTGAGTAGTAATACAAAAATTTGAAAAGTCATTGACCTTCGTAATGCTCGTCAACGCCATCATCAAAATCTTCCTCAACCTCAGCAGTAGCATCTTGGTACTGTTGATATTCTGCAACCAAATCATTCATATTACTCTCAGCTTCAGTAAATTCCATTTCATCCATTCCTTCCCCAGTATACCAATGCAAAAACGCCTTTCGCCTATACATGGCCGTGAACTGCTCACTCACTCTCCTAAACATTTCTTGAATGGATGTCGAATTGCCAATAAATGTGGATGCCATTTTTAGCCCAGTTGGTGGAATGTCACACACACTAGACTTCACATTGTTAGGGATCCACTCAACAAAGTACGACGAGTTCTTATTTTGGACATTGATCATTTGTTCATCTACTTCTTTAGTGCTCATTTTCCCCCTGAACATAGCAGATGCTGTTAAGTAACGCCCATGACGAGGGTCAGCTGCACACATCATGTTCTTAGCATCCCACATTTGTTGTGTAAGCTCTGGAACTGTGAGGGAACTGTATTGCTGTGATCCACGAGATGTCAGTGGTGCGAATCCCACCATGAAGAAATGAAGACGTGGGAAAGGGATTAGATTCACAGCCAATTTTCTCAAGTCTGAGTTCAGCTGACCAGGAAATCGCAGACAACATGTAACACCACTCATTGTTGCAGATATCAAATGATTTAGGTCACCAACTGCAAACAAAAACGATACTCCATTCGTATCAAACAATCAATTTATATAACGTTGCTTAACTAAACTCGATGATTTTACATCAGGATTTAGAATTAATAAATTCCATTTTGTTGCCCTTTTTATAATAAAGTTCGAGCTAGAAGGCTAAATGTAATAATACTCCGTTATTTTAGGAATGATGCGACATATTTGGAACGTTCTCAAATGAAAAGAGTAAGATCATATAAGTTAATATCAAAGAGAGGAACTTACAAGTTGGATTAGTGAGTTTTAGAGTCCTAAAACAGATGTCGTAGAGGGCTTCATTGTCGAGGACCATACATTCATCAGCATTCTCTACTAATTGGTGCACAGAAAGTGTAGCATTGTATGGTTCGACAACAGTGTCTGAAACCTTTGGAGATGGAAAAACAGAGAAGGTGAGCATCATTCGGTCTGGATACTCTTCCCTTATCTTTGAAATTAAGAGAGTTCCCATGCCGGAACCAGTCCCTCCACCAAGAGAGTGACAAACCTGAAATCCTGGCTCATAAAACAAAATACGAAGATTGTAAATAAAATAAACAGAGGCCCAATTTAAAATGTAGATAAATACAATCCTTCTAAAATTCATTTATGTTCAAAGACTCAGAAAAGACTAAAGCATTTGTGGGAACCCCTAAAATGGATAAAAAATCAAAGTGTGGTTGATGTGAGAGATTCTCGTTCTACAAATCTTAGGCGTTCATATCTCCAGAAAATCATGGATCATTGTACAATTTTTCGATATAACATTCTAATTTTGTACTATAAATTTTGAGAAAAGACACTAGGCAGTAAGATCCTTGATTAATTTCGACAGTAGAAAAGACAAGGTGATCGAATCCAACTTTCCAGCGTTAATTCAGATTGTTTACTGAAAAAAAGAAGGAAAGTGCATCATATATCATAATTCCAGCTCTTTTTTTGGATGTGTCTCACCATGAAGGTGCATTATAGATCATAATTATGCCACAACTTCTCCATATGTTTTGTCCAAAATGTTTCTTATATTTTCTTAAACTACATATCTTATCAAGTACTATACATCTATGAATGTACATTAACAGAGACAAATACTATTCTATACGTTTGCATACAATCATACGAACAAACTCTATCCATATTTATAAGCATTATAGCTATCATTGTCGCCACAGGTGATTAACATCAAACAGTTTACACGCACTTCAATTATTTCATTATCTATCCATCAAAACTTTTACTGAAACACATTTCACTTTTCGATATTAAACTACATGATTTTACCAAATATGAGAAGAATTGCAACATTTTTCACATAGTTTTCGAATATCTAAACTTTGGAAGCAAAAAAATATATATTGCAAACCTTGCATGCAGTCACAATACTCAGCTTCTTTACGAACAACATCGAGAACAGAATCAATCAACTCAGCGCCTTCAGTATAATGTCCTTTAGCCCAATTATTTCCAGCACCAGATTGTCCAAAAACAAAATTATCAGGGCGAAAAATTTGCCCAGAAGGACCAGATCTAATACTATCCATAGTACCGGGTTCGAGATCCATAAGAACAGCTCTAGGTACAAAACGACCAGCAGTAGCTTCATTGAAATATACATTAATCCGTTCAAGTTGAAGATCAGATGCACCTGCATTACCAGCATTGTAACGTCCCGTTGGATCAATGCCGTGTTCATCACATATAACTTCCCAGAATTTTGAACCGATTTGGTTCCCGCATTGCCCTCCTTGAATGTGTAAGATTTCTCTCATTTCGTTTTTTTTTTTTTTTTTTGCTTTTGTTAGAATGGAAAGAAAATGTGAAGAAATAAAGAGAATATTATGAAAAACGGAACAAAAATGCGGACGAATTGAAACCGCTTGCCTGATCGATAGGGACAAAGGCCCACGTGGCCACCGTCAAAAAGCTCGTTTGGTTGAGAAATAAGTTATTCTATGAAGGGAAAAAAAAGATAAATATACCTCCGAACTATGTAAATACCCTCTGTCATACTTTTGGACATTGGTGCCCCGGCCGTCACCCTTTATACTAGCAGACATACACGTGACATAATCTTATCGACCGACGCAACATTTATTAAATATCTAATCAACAGATAAGATTGCACCACATGTCCCTATTTAGTCTTCCGTTAGAGGGAAGGACATATATGCTCTAGTTTTTGGATGGCATGGACACCAATGTCTCAAAAGTATGACTGAAGGTATTTACATACCATTTACGATAATTTGAAGGTATATTTATCTTCTTTTTTTTCCTTCTATGAATGACGGAGTTACACTACTACAACTTACAAGCATTAATAATTGTTGCATGGCTTAAACTCTTGATCTATAGTTCTCACATACACTTTACTATGTCTCATCCAACATTTGAAGCAAAAGTAATTTTAGCTCTTAATTTGTTTATTCATCTTATTAACATTATTATTATGCTTATGTGGTGGTGTTTTTTCAAATAGTTTTAAATTTTAAATAATAACTGATGATGGATATAAATTTTGTTTAAAAATTGATGTCTATGTTCTTAAAAAAAAAAAAAAAAGGAAAAAGGTACATCTAAATAGACATCTATGAGGCTGCTTCTCTCTTGACCACATGTCTGGATTCCGAGCCCCGAGTATCTTTGAAAATGAATACAGATGAAAGAGAGACATTCTTCTAAATTTCTTTTGGTGTAAATGAGAATTACAGTTACATGTAAGCTTGCTTAGTAGCAAATACCTAAGAAATGTGACCAGAAGGCCCAGAATAAACAAGTTAGAAACATGCTGAACAAGTAAACTTTTGCACCTATTCTTAAAGTAATGTCAAGAATCATATTACATTCAGAAATTATGTCTTTATTCAACTATATTGTGCCTCCCTCCCAGTTTAAATCAATATAGACCCCCTCCTTCTACCTTTAATTTACCTACTGCTACAAGACACTGGCCGGTAAATGATTTAACGACTGGGATAACATATTGAAGTTTACTTCCATGGTGGTGGATGATGTTTGAAAGGGGAAGGTTCCCAGCCACCATCTGGTTCTTTGCGTTTCCCACCGATACTCAAACTGGTTGAGGGTTGCATGTTCATCCTGAAGTGTTCATCCATCGTTCTAGCTTGTCCTTGATCAAAAAGCTGCCTCAGACCTCCGGTGTCTTTATTTCCACGATCAAGTACTAAGCCAGTGTCGAGATCCAGACCACTTCGTGATGGCCAAACTCCGTTGGGAACAGGTGCACTTCCCATGTTTAAAATGAATGATTGTTGGGAGAAAGATGGCGGTATTGCTGAAGCAGATCCGCCAATTTGAGGTACAACAGGAGCCCCCCTGGAATCCACCATGTAAGGAATATGACCACTGGGTCCATACATTGATGAGGAGAAAGCCATGGGAGGAACTGGAGCAATGCCACTGTAACCAAAAGCAGGAAGAGGGGTATATTGAAATGGAGATCCCATTCCTAAAACTCCTCCACCTCTTGCAACATTATGCTCAACAGTGTTTTCCGCTACCCTACCATTTGGAAAAGGAAAAGACTGAGCAGCATAATCTTTACGGTTGACCTCTACCTTCACGCCCATGATGGACACAACAGTATCACCTGATTTTATTCCACCAGATGCATTAGAATTCTGAGGTGGTTTCTTGAAGTTGCTCAGATTTGAGAAATCATTGAGAAAAGATGACTGGTCATTTAGATCAAAGTTCCTTAATGAAGGCTGCTTTGATGATGATGATGATGAAGGTGACTGGCTCGGATGACCATTCCTCAGAGACAAGAGTGATCCCTCCATCCGCCAATCAGATGGTGCCTCACCCTCCTCACTTGCACAGTTAAGATCCCACTCTAACATTTCCGATTTTCTTGGACTGGCTTCACGAGAAGATTTCCCTAGAGGAAGAGCAGATGATAGTGAAACTTTCTTTTCAGGAAAAAGGTCTGCAACCCTATCATCTCCACCTTCAGATACATTCAGATCAATATCATGGAAACATTGCATTTGCTTTGAGCTGCTGGCATTCCCGCCAGAGGAAACAGCCTTCTCACCTCCAGGAATCCGGCGAGGTGATGCAGGCCGAAAAGCACTTGTTGCAGCAGATCCTTTCCATCCAAGAGTTCCTTCAAACTGTAAGGGAGTAGCAGGTACTCCAGAGGCAGCTGCAGCCCTTGAAGCAGAAACAACAGAGACAGAACTGGAGATTGGATTTCCTGGGCTATCTATATCATCTGAACAAACCTCTAGATTCAGATCAAAAGTGCACAGAACTTTGTCGACGTTGGTTTCAAGATCCAAAGTGGCGTCAACAACCTGAGAAGATTCCACCTTCACAGTTCCATTGATTGGTCTAGCTTCTGAGTTTGCAAGTGAAGCTTCAGTCGAAGGAGCCATTCCTCTTGATACTTCCTTGTTAGAGCACTCGAACCTTTTTTGGCGTTGTTTTGCACTACTAGAATCTGGGCTACCAGGCTCATGAACTTTACTCTCCTCTATTTTTTCAGAAGAACTGCAACTCTGAACTTCCCTCTCCACTTCTATTGCAACCTGTCTAGCTAATTCTAAAGGATCCATGATGCCATAGTCAAAATCAATATCACTTTTCTTGCCAAACACACCATGGTCTCTACCTCCCTTTCCTGCTTCTTGAAATTCACTTTCATTTTCCATATCATCCTCACTGTTGTCACTAGTGTGTTTGTCCTCACTGTTGTCGCTAGTGTGTTTGTCAGCCTGACCAACAACAGAATCTACGGGATGTTCCAGATTATGCTTGTCGGAGTCCTGCAATATGTCATTGTTGCACTTTCTGTTTTCTGTAGCTTCAAGCACTATCTTGCTGCTGCCATGATTTTCAGGTCTGCTATCATCCACCGGTGTCTTTCCCTTGGGAACAGCCACTGAGACATCACCAAAAGAAGAATTTCCGCTACAACTCTTTTCATTGTAGACATCAGTTTGTTTTTGTAAATCTGATCCAGCAATAGCATCCAAAGCTTCTCTGATATCAGTAACTAAAGAAATAGTTCTGTCTTCCAATGATTTAGACACTGCGGAGTTGAATTTCTCAGAACTTCCGACTTCTTTAATGTGACTTAAGTGATTAATTGAATCTGAAACAGGAACATCTGTCTGTTCATCAGCAGGACCAGGTCTCAATACTATAGAAGTGCACGTATTTGACGTATCAATAGCATTGGTGGCACACTCTGCCTGATGTGTCGGGTGTTCAACCTTGTGACCTTCAGTAACCGAATTTGACAAAGATGAGCCTGGAAACGCATCCTTCATGTGTGTATGCTCTAAATTTTGGTCGGATGTTGCGGTATCTCCAACCCTAGATTGATGGATATCAGACCTTGAAGACAGTATCTTACTATTGCCAACATGTTCCTTGGTCTTTTCTTCTCCAGAACTTCCTTCCACAGACAACGGTTCAGACTGCCCATTTTCCCCAACAAGATTTGCAGTATCTCTTGTTTTATCATCAATAGATGCTTGTACTTTTTCAATACGCACTGAAACCATACAGTCGTCTTTCCCTTTATTCCAAGTATCAAATAATGTTTTAGCCCTCTCTTGCACCTTAGAATTATTGTGCCCAAGGAGGCTCTTCACAGTCAGCCAGATTCCAGAAGATACAGACTTCTCATCATCTACATGCAGCCTTTCAACAGCTCGCAGTAAAAGATCAATCAAATGACTAATTGATTCATCTACAAAGAACTCACCTGTCTCATTTCCAAATCTTAGAGCATCCCGTAACCAACTCTGAATAAAGCTGAGTCCATCTAGCTGGATAAAGAGTTCAAGACACTCTTTATTCTCAGTTGCAGCTATCGTGCTTGCAACAGCAGACCACTGCTTTGTTGTTTCACCAGCATTCTTGACATCACACTCTCTTTCCTTCTGCATTATGGAGACTAGCTCCTGGACTCGAGAAGGAGTAGTGAGCCCATTACTCATCTCAGTCAAGGTAAAGAAGTCCTCGAGTTTCATAATGTAAAAGTAACTCACAAATCAGGACTTCCAAGATGTAAAGTGATGCTTGTAACATCTACCCTTTGCATGATATCTGAAAAAGATAAAGAAAAGGAATATCCAGCAACCTCCACCTGCAAAAAAACATTGAAAATTGATCCAAAATATTAGTTCAATAGATCTAATAGACACGAAGATTTGTTAACATGACCTTCTACTCGAGAGCTGACTAGTTGTTTAAACATCATTGGGAGATACAAAGGAATGTTAATTCTTAACGTTGCATCAATTTTGCCTTTATTAAACAAAAAAACATTCAAATAAAGCAAACAGAAGGCATGAATGGTCGAATGTTCACAAAGGCACGTTTAAGCCCTAAAGCGAGACACAAAACATGTTGAACACTTAGCCTTGCTTTATGGGCGCTTCAATGTTGCCATTAAGGCTCTAAGACATACTTTTCCTTGCCAATGAGAGTAATCCTGAAGATGTGATACTAAACAATTGATATTTCTGTTTATCATTATTCTTTTTCAATTTCTTTGTCCAAATATTTGTTATGCAAGCTAATGCTTATTAATCTTGGACTACACATACATAATTCAAATTTTTTCCCCAATTGCACCGTTTTCCATTAAAGTCAATGCTTTATTTGTGTTCAGCGCTTAAAACCCCAAAGCAGCTTAAGAGTTTTTTTTTGCACTCTTTGCTTTTGATAACACTGCAATAGTCCTACAAGGTGGCAACACTAATTATGCCTCAAGAGCTCCTGCATCACCAAACAGATAAGACACTGT